TTCCACAAAAAGTCTAGTTTCCAATCTAGTTGAGTTCTTCCCCCGTAGGAATCGCACCTCAAGAAAACTTTGGAGAGCCATTACTTAACAAAAACTCACTTGTACTAACGAGATGTTTATAAAGCATAATTTTATTTAGGGTTATTTCAAAAGACAACTGCATCGTCTAGACACGTGTAAAGTGAATTTTTGGTATTTTTAGTTTGTGTGTGAACTGGTGCTGCTTCTGAGCTCTGATTGTAATTTCGGTAAACATTTAGATTTAAGAACTTAATTATGTTTATCTAGTCTTGTTATAAATGAATCTTGATCCAAAACATTAATTTAAGCAGGGTGCAATTAAGTTCACGAAAATTATCCACAATCAAGTTTGATAAAGTGTGCATAATAAACGGCAATACGTGTATGTATCAAATTACGGGTTAACTACAGAATTTGCTATCGCATACAACTATATTCTCCACAGTACACGACTATATCATATAGCTCATTCCAACAATAAATATGTAAACAAAAATATATCCGAATGATCATGATGCAAATATGTTTGCAGCTATTATACTTTTACATTGTATTTTGTTAGAAATCTTAATTCTATTTTACTATTAAAATGTCATTGAAATCATAAGCCGAAAAACGTTGATAGCTACCACTAAAAAAGATTCTATGATCACTTATTTTGACGAGAAGATGAAATTGATAAAATACTACCGCTTGGCAGATGAAATTTACAAAATGCAATAGGCGGAACAACTGATGAGAACATATATAAAAAGATTAATTGATTAAAACATGGTTGCTGAAATGCAATAATTGGGGCCAGACCTCCCCCATTCCCCTGTATATATACTAGAGCCGATGGCGCCCGAGCGCCTCCGCTCCTCCTGCTCTTCCTATCCCCCCCCCTCCGCCTTCACGACTGAAGAAGCAGAGGGCTACACCGGTGGCCCGTTGAGAAGCGCGTCCAGGGGACCGCCCACTTGAGAAGGCTTGGATTAAAAGATCAATCGGTCAGAATTAGCGTGAACAAAGGAATTGAAAACTTGTGATCAAAAGACGAATGGTATAGAAGCTACAAGTAGGGATTTAAAATATTTAATTTACGTGCAGATGTGCAGTTGAACAGATAAACAGATGGCAGTATGCGCACAATATAGAATGAGCATTTGAGCCACTGCGTTCTCACCGCCTCCGACCGAACAGGACCTTTCACATGGCACCCCCAGGCAGGATGCATCCGCAATATTGGTCCGCGCGCGACGATTCAAATGGCATCTCGCTTCATATTCGCAACCGCCATTACCATGCAACGCACGGCCTTCATCGCTGATTAAAAAGTGTCCGCTGATGAATCGTCCCCACCTCCGCATTCCCATTCGCGCACGCACTCCCGCCCCCCGCCCCCTTGCCTTCCTTTCCCAGGCTCCGGGGCGATCCCACCCCAGCATTCGCTCGTCCCGTGAGCGACCAAGGCCTCGGCCGGCACGAGGACGCGCAGAAATCAGCATCGAAAGAATGCATCACGCGGAAACAGACGTGTGTCAAACAAAGGACCTCGGCTCACCATCGACAACCTACGCACGTCTCGTCGACGCTTTTTTACAATTCAGATAAACGAACAGGTGTGGTTTGACCGCGTGCATTTTTATTTGCAGAAGGCTGTTTCGAGCACGATGTGGGCATCTGCAGATCCTACACACACTTAAATATATATAATATAATTTATCGTATTGTCTGTAATATTTAAAAATGAAAGGAATCGAAAGATTTTTCTACACATAAAATATATGAGTTGAAAGCACATCTGTTCCATTATCAGAGTGCTGTGGCTGAGTGTTAACCAAACATGGACTACTCCAGCTCAGTTGTTGGGAACCACTAATTGTATATTAGTTCCTTGGATGTGTAATCCGATGAAACAATTTCTTTTAATGGTGTTCGACTACTAAGAAAGAAACATATCGTTGTCACACTCTCGATTTGTCAGAATTTGGAATAGGTTGAACGGGATGGAGAAAAGAAACACGCGTTTTTTTCCTTTCGGAGAAAAACGTTTTAAAGGGTTAAAACAACTCTTCGAAATCGAGGCTTAAAAGGTGATTTTCATTTTTTGCAGAAGAAAAAAATTTTTTTTTTGAAAAAATGAAGTTGCACATTTTTGCGGCATTTTTGAAGTCTTATTTCGTAGTGGAAAGTAGTTTTAACTCTTTTTCCTCGAAAGAACATGCAGAACCTCGCCTTTTTAAGCCTGCACATTTAATGTTATTTCACAGTAAAACCTTTTCTGATTAAAATAACACACACACAAATCTTGATTTTCAACCCACATTACATACCCTAAATTTCGAAAAATCGTCGTATATCTCGTAAACTTCACATACCATAAACCGTCGCATACCAATTTGGTGAGTGATAGAGACAGACTCCAGCGTAGTTTTTTCTCTATCCTTTCTTAAGTAAGTAGTTAAAGTTTCATCGGTTAGGGGGCATTATTAAAAACTTTCCTTGATTGTTTCCACTTTCAACTTATTCCATATTTATAAAACTAGTTGAGAGCGTTGTATAGCGTAATTGTTACGTCGAAATCCCGAACTTCTCTTAATATCAGGTCCACCCATTAATACGTTGGAACTTACTTTAATATATGCCGGTGTAGAAAATAATTAGCAATCGAAGCAACATGGTGAATGTTGTACTAGTTGTTAAAAAGAGATGTCACCATGTGTCCCCATCGATCAGGATCGCATGATCAGAAAATGTTAAAAATATATAAGCCCTTTCCACATTTCAAAAGCTGGAAACATTTGAACACTAAATTGCAGAAAGAATTAATATATTGATGATTACATGAAGCGTTAGTTCTTAAATCTTTTCATTCCCCCCCCCCCCACTATTTTGAAATTTATTCAGGGATCCATTGGTGTTCTATGTTTGTCGGAATGGCACTGGCGTCTGTTTGGCAAGCACCGTCACGGGTATGAGTTTTGAAATAGAAGAAGAAAACATTACGATTCCATGGGACGTTCTGCTTAATTAATTAGAAATGTGCTTCGGGGCAACAGTGCAAGACGAGTTCTGAGTTGCAAGCGAAATGAAAGGGAAAACACGCCGTCCAATGGAAAACGCGAAGTAACGGGCAATAAGCGATGCGTGGGCATGAAGCCAACGAGCTGAAAAAGGAACAGCGAACTGGTATGCCAAATGCAAATAAGCAAACGGCGCGAGAGACTGATACAAATTTTTGCCGCATGCAGGAGTCGTGCACCATGATATTCATGCAGATATTTCAGTATTGTTAATATGTAATGTACTCGCGTCTTTCACACATCCTTTTCACCCTTGCGTCACATACGCGCTCTGCATGGGGAATGCAGACCCCACAAAAACCTTGTCTTTCTTTCCTGACTCCAGTTCAATACAAGCCGTATTATTCATGTGTGTGAGAGAAAGTGCCTACATATTTGGTTTAAGTTCAAAAACTTGAATTTTTGTTGTTCAAAGTGTGATGTTTCACTTTTTTGTATATTATAATAATAATAATAATAATTATTATTATTATTATTATTATTAATAACAATAATAATAACAATAATAATAAAGACATTTAATTTTTAAATTTGTAAAAGTTCAGTTCAAACGGAATTTTTGGTTTTAATCAAAAATAAATTATTGAATGATAAATGTGTCATGTCAATTATCGCATTCCTCGTACATTTTTCTACAATACAGTAGTTTTTCAACATACATTTGATACAATACATTTGGCATCAGTGCGCATTTGTCGCCTACCAATAAATCACGACCCGTAAGAGCCCGTTGTGCAATCTGGATTTAAAAAACAGTACAATCACGGATACTATATTTTGAAGACAAACGCTGTTCTTTGAAAATGTGAATTCATGTAATGTTCATTACATCCGTCAAATAATGAAGCCACAAATGGACGACCGCAGTTCAGAGGTCAAACTGTTAACCTCGGGGACAGTGGCTGGAATGCCATCAATCTGCGTGGTTTTTGTGGTGGATAAAGAGGATTTGCGGGAACATATCTCGGGATTCTCTCGTTTCCCTCTCGTCGCATTCCGCCAATGCTTCATAAATCGTTCACCTCCTTCATCGTCATCATCTAACACAAAGAGATGATGTCTGGATATTAGCTAATCCTCTGTTTTCGTTTCAATATGTCGACAAAGGAAATAGGAGGTTCCCAATATGTTAACGAGGGTTTGTTATGAGAAAAAACGAAAACATCCATTATGGAATACCTAAAGGAACGTGTAAGAACAGGAATAAGGAAAATCATTACTTGCATACTTAACGATTCTACCCGATTCTACCTGAATTTCGCAGCATTCCCGTCCCAGAATACTGCCTGGAAGCCCACCTGGGCATAGTTGCTTCCAATGAAAGAAAACTCAAAAAACATTACTTTTGAGTTTTAAATGAAAATCGGACCTATACCATTTTTATAGGCGCACTTTGTTCTATCCACGCAAAATATTAAAGAAGGAAATCGGAGCCATTTGTGAGGAATGTTTGAAAGTGCCCTAGGGGGGTATATAAAGTACCCATAGAAAAGATTTGTTTCAAATTCACAGGGCCTGGAGTCCGGTCATAGATCGGGGAATTTCTATTAGGAGGGAAATTCTGTGTACGGTTTAGGCGCTAGTATTGTTTAGAGACAGAAGAACACACGGAGTACAAAGAGTTAATTGTTTTTATCCTTCATAATATATAACGTTTGCCAAAGTTGGTGCTAGCATCTTAATAGTCCTGGTTTGATTTGATTTGCAAACACATAGATGATCATCAAAAACAACAACCTGCGACAATAAGTACTAATAATAGAGCAGTTCATAAAAAAAAACGAATCCTACAGTCTTTGAGCAATAACTATTTTATATTACTAATCCGAAAAAGGCTCTACTTTTCGGGCGTTATGTAGTCTTTGAAAATAAATATGGAAGGGAATGTACTAAAACAATGAAGGGGCTACTCACTTCTTTCGCCCGGCGGTCGCGCCACCGTAGCCACCGGTCGAGGCCAGGCCGCCAGTACTCCAGCATGTAGGCCTCGGCGTACTCCTGGCCCATGCCGTTGCCGAAGCGGCCCTGCGTCTGCACGGCCGTTACCGCGTGCATGGCGCCCAGGTCCACCTGCAGGTACTCGCGTGCTTCCAACGTCACCATGTTGCGCGGGCACCACGCGCCGCCGTGCCGGTCATGGCACAACCTGCAGCAAACGACCGCACTACGCTCAGCACCGAGGAAGCTTAAGCAATCAGAGCTTAAACCAGCTGGTTTCGCAGTTTCGGACAGAGAACACCCTGTGGCATACATTTATTGATTAGTGATTACAGGCGCGTCAATCACTAAGTTCATTAGTCCCGTATGTGTAGTGCGTGGTTTTATCGCGGGAGCCAACAAGTAGTCAGCTCCTGATTAATATCCCGACCTGTGTGATAGTGTAGTGCACGTAAGTGTATGTGGGTGGGTGTCTGTAAGTAAAGTGCGAGGAAAGGGAAAGAAAATCATCGGCAAAAAGTGATCATTTTCGCCTCCTCAACATGCCGTAGATGATTGTTACATTCACTCTGAGACAGCATGTATATTAAATGACAATATCTGACTACGTGGTGAACGCTGCCGCATTAAACTGCACTCGGCATTACGAAGATACGAATAAAACAAACAAGGAAAGGAAGAGGAAGCAGCGATCGTTAGTAAGCAGATTAATAGCCTTAGATAATGGTTTTTTGGAAAGTCATCGACGTCCACCTGTTTTTTCACGAAAAATAATGTGCTGGTCGGTTGTCAACGAGTGCGATAACTGAGACAAGGAAGATGGTTTTATTGGGTAGATATCCCAGACGGTGATGGGCAACGGATTCGTCCGTGTCTTTGAAATATTTCCACCACTCCTTGAAAAAATGCCTTTGAAGCAGAGGGCCTTTGAATTAGACGTGCCTCACTGCATTGTCACGCTTGACGGCCGTCCCGCAGGGAGATAACCGGTCCGCTTCTTTACTATTTTTATACGATAAAGAATATACTCAGCGTCAAAAACGAAAATAATATTCCCTTCATAATAACGGCATTAGTGTATTTGTAAAGGTGGAAATTTTGTGTTATCTTTTCAATTGTATACACTTTACTGTCTGTAAAAAAATACTGAAAAATAAAATAATCTTCAGGTCGTCTTGGTCCTCAATTCAAATGCAAGGGGTCGACTTTCTGTTTCTGAACACCGAATGTTATTTTCTCTCACCTCTTGAAACTTCACATACCGGCTTTATACTCTTGTGGCGTTAAATAAATAAATAAATAAATAAATAAATAAATAAATAAATATATATAAATAAATTAAACGGGGTTATTTTGGTGGATAGAAATCCCATACCCTGCCATTGGACAGAATTTCTGCTGTCCCACTCACATATAAAACAGTAGTGCTTGTGTATCCGAGCTGCATGACGAGCAGAATTGCAATTACCTTGAGGTCACATGTATTCCATTTGTTTTTCTCAAATTTGTTAAGTATGAGAAATTTCTTATACGACTCTTTCAGATTAGCTGCATGAACAGTCGGAACAGAAGGAAATTGGTCCCCATTGTGGAGAAGTCTTGCTTTCAGACTTCTTTTGCAAGAACTTATGAACAACCGCCAGTCAGTTACATTGAAATCGTGGCCAAGAGTCTCCATAACGGATTCGATATCATTTCAAAACTCTATGTTACTATTCATCGAGAAATATTTTGAAAAAAACTACTTGGTGCTCACGGACTCACTTTCGTAAAAGAGGAAAAAGGAATGCACCCTTTTAGTCGCGAAGATATTGATCAGACCTTTGCTTCGGCAAATTAAAATAACAAACATTATCATTGATATCCCCTTGAGACAAAAAAGTGTTTCATTTGAACCACATGAGGCTTTGAAAGATGGGTCAGCATGGATATCTCTTTTGAATATTCGCCTCTGCAGCATTCATCTTCATCCACTGTCACATTATCAGGACGTAGTGGGACCGGCAGTCCTTCACTGTGACATACACGCCTTGTAGTAGATGGTAAATTAGGATATTGCACAGTTTTCTTCGTTTCAAGCTATTTTTGGAAGACAGAAATAACAGACTGTTGTGTAATCAGTTAGTTCCTTCTAAATCTTGGGAACAGCAATGAGCATGTGTCGTGAACTTTTTAACCAACATGTCTGGAGAGTAACGCCACACAGCATATATATGGGAAGTCGATTTCTTGTCCTTGTCGCCAACGTTACATTCGAAATAATGTTCGCAACACTTTCTTATTAGAGACTTAAAGCGATTCTTTGCGATTTTAGAGTTAATTCTCCACAGATATAACACAACGAATTTGGGCTATTTACGCAGTTACGAAGCATTTTTTATTCTGAATTAATACAAAGCACAAATCTTCACGAATCTAGGACAATAAGCTGTCAAATCCAAATTACTTTCCTCGCTATCAGATCTCTCAATACTGGGACGCAACTGGCAAGAAACACATTGCGATTCTGTCTGTTCGTGCATGACTTATTAGCAATGTTGCTAAACATTTTCATTCCCATAATCTGAAATCATTGTCATGTATACGAATTCTTTGTACACATTTCGATTGTTCCTGAACAATTACATGTGCAGAATAATAAAGCTGCAGCAAAATATTCATTATGCAGCGTTTTCAAGCATTTACAGAGATTCGTAGTAGTGTCTCACAAGAAAACTGAGCCCGATAGGCAAAACTGATTTCATATTCAAATTCACTGTGAAAACACCATTCACATTCTTTGTTACAAAAATGCTATTGACCAGTGTATTTTTTATGGAAGATCCAATAATCATTTAAAAGTATTGGTGAAATCATGGAGAACCAACAGTTTGCTATTAGGGTCAAGAGAAACCAATTGAAAAATGAAGACAAAAAATACAATGTTATATGAAGAGGAGCATTTGAAACAAAGGGATATACACTGAAGAGCCAAAAATACTGGTACAGCCATGCGTATTGAAATAAAGAGATCTGCAAGCAATCAGAATACGGCGCTGCGGTCGGCAATGACTCTTCAAGTGTGACACAGTTGTTAGATCGGTTACTCCTGCTACAAAAGAAGGTTGTCACGATTTAAGTGAGTTTAAACGTGTTGTTAAGAGTCGACGGAAGAGAAATGGGGCATAGAATCTCAGAGGTCGCATTGAAATTTGGATTTTCTCGTACGACAATTTTACGAGTAAACCGTGAATATCGGAAATCCGGTAAAACATCAAACCTCCGATATCGCTGCGGCCAGAAAAAGAACTTGCAATAACGGAACCTACCACGACAACCGAGGAGAATAATTACACAGTGACAAAGGTACAACTCTTCCTAAAAATGCTGCAGATTTTAATGCTGGGCTATGCAACCATATCAACCTACGCTACCACATCACACCACACCAGCCTACGCAACCATACACGAAAAAAACAAGTTGCAGTATACCAGAAGGGAACTAGTTACAGTTTCATAGATCTGTTATACTCAACTGTTTTTTTTATTTCCGTGTATCAGTGTCAATATGTGAACCATGTAGAGAAACCTTATTGATGAGGGGTTTTGGAGGTAAAGGCTCACTTGGGCCTTTATCCTTGATGGTTGTATGATACACAGCTTTACGCCTCACCTAGGCAAGTCAATACCGATATTTGACTGTTGATGACTGCAACTGGACTGGACTGTAAAGTCTCATTTCACATTGTTTTGAGCGGATGAACGTGTACGAGTATTTGCGACGAACTCATGAATACATGGACCCTGCGTGTCAACAGGGGACTGTTCAAGCTGGTGGAGGCTCTGTGTTGGTATGGGGCATGTGCAGTTGGAGTGATATGGGACCTCTGATAAGTCCAGATACGACTCTCACAGGTGACACATACTTAAGAATTTTGCTGATCACCTGCACACATTCATGTCCATTGTGCATCCCAACGGACTGTGGCAAGTCCAGTAGAACAATGCGACAGCCCACACGACCAGAATTGCTACAGTGGCTCCAGGGACACATTTCTGAATCTAAACACATCCACGTGCCACAAAAATCCCCCAGACATGAACATTATTGAGCATATCTGGCATGCTTTGCAACGTGCTGTTCAGAAGAGATCTCCACCCCGTCGTACTCTGACGAGGTTGTGGACACCCCTGCAGGATTCATGGTGTCAATTACCTCCAGAACTACTTCAGACATTAGTTGAGTCCTTGCCACATCGTGTTGCGGTACTTCTGCGTGCTCGCGAGGTCCCTACACAATATTAGGCAGGTGTACCAGTGTTTTTGACTCTTCAGTGTATTAGACATTTGAAGAACATTCCAAAGATACGCAAATTCTATTCTGATGTAGTCAGAACGTACTCTAGGGTTTATATGTGCAAGTAATAATTGTATTAATCGTCGTTGCCAACAATATTGTTTATTCCAATAGCAGCATTCGATGACTTAGCCACCATTATCAGTTTTCTAGTAGAAGAAAAAACATTGAAACGTAAATAAAAAACAACAACATTGGAATAAATAGATTACTAATAACTTAAAATTTTAAGAAAATATAATTAACATTTTAAGAATTTTGTTTCAAACTGTCACATATTCTAAGTCATTTTATTCACGATATTGTATATTAAATTATTGAACATCCCCTTCTACTTCTCTGTTTTTAAAATATTAATTCTATTTTCTAAAAATTTTAATTATTACTAATCTACTTATTCTAATGTTGTTTTTTTGATTCACGTTTTAATGTTTTTTCCTTGTACTAGAAAACGGCCGATGATGGCTAAGCCAACGAAAGCTGCTATTGTAATGAGCAATATTGTTGGCAATGACGACTCATAATTATTTCATTGTAAATGCCAACGAAATTTCACCACAATACCAATGTACATGTAAGTTAGATTATGTGATTTAATGTGTATACATCGTTCTTAATTTTATGACTTCTCTTATATTGATTTCTAAAACGAAGTATTAAATATTTGCCTAATAAACTGATCGAAAGTTAGGATTTTATGTATTGTGAGGCATTTTCTAAATTGGGTGCCGAACGCTAACATTTATTAATTCTCACATTGATCAGTGCTAAGGAATGATTCAACAACGGTCTTAGTCATTTCAACCATTTTATGCGTTGTGTTGTTCTTTGTCAGAGCTAATATGGAAACTGATTTGAATGATAAGCTATTTGCACAAAATAAAATATACTATAATGTATTTTGGCATTTTTTAATCGACTGTCCGAGTCTACCAGCTAGATAACGGTGTCCAACGTGCCTGGGTCTTCTCAAATTCAAACGCTTTAGGAGTAAGAAAGACATGTGGCGGACATGCCGTAATTCCCTAAACCGTAACAAGTAAACTCCGCCTGCCTGAGCTTTTCTTCGCAACAGAAACTGTGACCTACGATTTTAAAGGAAAGCTACATCTCAATTTTGCTTCGTTCGGGATACTCTATAATTATATATTCATGAAATAATAATTTTAAATACAAATTATATTTTACGTATTGAAATATTTCTATGTCTACGTTCCTGGTCACGTGCCCCGACCCAGACCCTCCCTTTGAGTTTCGTGTGAAAGAATCTTATTGACAGGTCGTTACGCTCACGACTATTATATGGCATGAGAGCGTAGGTTTCATACTGGCATCATGTGGAAATCAAGAGCACCTGTGACAAAGCAAAGGGCAGCCTTGGGTTCCGAGCTTCATTTTACCCTCACAGTATTAAAATCAGACCCGGATATACATCAAAGCCAATAACAGATTTTCAAGAGCTTCGCGCACAAGCCGTCAAAAGAATTATTGTTCAAATCAACATGCTTTCCATCAGTCCCATGATGTTGAGTGAATTAAATATTGATGTAGCAGACGAAACTACGTTAATCTTTAACCAAGTTATTCACAGAATTCGGCTCTTTGCGTAACATGGAAAGATAGAGCCGTTTCACATGGTCCATCCTCTACCACGTCGCGTCATGTATGCTCACGGGTACACGGGTCTTTTTTAAATAATGGACGTCAATTATTCCAGACGACATTGCTAGAGGAATGGGCGCAAAGTTTTTTAGGAAAATGTTTCAGAAGCTTCGTGTTAAGTGCCCCCAAAATTGAAGTATCGGTTTCAAATTCAAAGGGCCGCGACATCAGCGAAATCAAATGCGGAATATCAGTTTTGGAGAAAATTGGCTGAACGGTTTAGCCGCGAGCGTTGTTAATACAGACGTTTTGCCGTCATTCAATTTTTCAGTAACAAGGACCCACAAAACATTCATTCTGGCTACACTACGTGTAAGAGGATCTTTTCTTAATTTAGCAACTTAATTTATCCACTTTTTCGATTCCAGGTTCTGCAATATCAGTTTTTCTGCCGAAAATTCGCCAGTTTTTTTCTCGCAGAATTACATAACTTTCTCTCTTCTCTGTAGCAAGAATTACTCTAGGAGATTCTACTCTATAGAATCATATATCTAGAGCATTCTAGATATAGCAGAACATTCTAGTACAAAATATACCTCTCTCGAAAACATTACGTATGGACATTTTTATTGATTTTTTCGCATGTATTTTTGTTTGTTTAATTGTGTTGATCCTGATTATCAGAGCAAGCAATTTAAAACTGCTAAAGAAGATAAACAGATATTTAAATAGCAAAATATAAAACGTAAAAGTAAAGTACTAGATAGAATAGGTATCTTCAAAACGTTTGTTTAATCCGTAAGGGTATGATTGTACCCCCATACCCACAATGTAGTCGACCCACTGCCTCTACTTCTCTTGTATCTTTGAGTGCCTATTTGTAGGATGCTAACACAATTTGATAAAGTATTGTTTTAACGTTTATCATATATTTTTATCGTATTATCTCATTCGCTTTTCTGCCGATGTACATCGTACTATCAATACTTTTTTAAATTTTGTGTCTATGTGTTTTCGTGAGCAAACTTTTATAGTCCTTAAACGCTTCCTTGCATATCTACGAGTATGAAAACAAGCATCATCAATCTGTTGGTATCCAGCTATAGTAGCTACAGAACGTAGTATGAATTTGCGGTTCATTTCGAAATTTAAATCTAGTTTTCAATATTTCTTATTCAGTAGAAGACCATTCTTTAGAACTTTACATTCTTGAGCACTGTCTATCTCGAAGTCATTTCTTCCGGGAGCATACAAATAACAAGAAAAACAGCTCCGCTCCCGCGCTGACGCATGCAAACTACCCCACTGTGTCTCCCTAAGCCATCAAGGCCGCATGGGTGCGAGGGCCCATCCACTGCGCCGCGCCGCTTGGCTTTAGGGCTTAGGGGAGCAGGGCCAGCGCCAGAGCAAGGGCAAGGGGACGCGACGGGCGGGGAAGAGCGGCCACTTGCAACTGGTAGCCCTTCCTCCTCGGGGCTCGGGATCCACGAGGGCTGTGATCAAAGGCGCCGCCCTCGGAATTCTCCTCACCTTCACTCCACTGCGCGCGACTTCTTGGCTCATTAGCTCATTAGCTTGTTGCGACACTCCTCAATTGCGAAGGGCGCTCCACAGTTACTGAATCTCTCCCGATGGGAGGTTCAAGTATTTGTGAAACGCGAGTATGACACAACTTATAAATTGATTGTCACTATTGAATTTGTTTTTTCTATTTTTGTCAATCCCTTCTTTTAATTTAGGACGACCACGTTTCAATAAATCCAAATTTATTTCATAATTTTGTTTAATGAAGGTTTACAACGCTTCGGAGTCTGTTCAGTCTCCCGCATCAAGGTAACTGAAAATGAATTTACAAAATTTACAATTGTAAATACATTTTCGGGCCCGTGGCTAGCTCTTGGTCAGCGTGATCGCTTTCCACTACGTAGTCCAGGGTTCGATTTTCGGTCGAGCCAAGACTATAGTGTGCGTTTTCCTTGCAATGTCCCAATATATGTTGCAGTGTGTCGATGAAATTCACTTCTCAGTTTGAGAAGATCGGAGTACGGCGTGGGGATATCTACGTGCTAACCACACGTATCTCCTTAACCCATGGTCGCGAGGCAGGGACATCGCCGGTAGGCCTGGACCCGTTCACGGGCTGTCGCGCCAAGTACATTCATACAAATACATTTTCGGTTACACCTGATCAGGGAGATGGACCCGTTTCCGGGTCCATGTGTGTTTTAAGCATAATGCCGTGCATGTTTACCAAATATGTATCTAGGCCAGGCTTGGTAGTATGTATTCATGAATTGAAACTCCGCGGTAGCGCGGCCTTTTTTTTCGGAGAGGTGGTGGTGTCGCGATGTGGCATTCCCGCCCTCACGTCACGCCGCCGGCAGTAACTCACGTGACCCCGCTCGTCACTCGCCGTCGTCGGCCGTCAAAGAGTATAAAAACGCGAGCGATTTGCAGCTCGCCCCTCTTTCCTTAACAGCTGAGATGCCGGAGGCACCTGTCGCGCCGCCACCCACTCGCCGTCGGAAGGCTTCGCTATCTGGGTAAGTGACGTAATAAATTCTGTAAACTACACGCTGTTTCTATTTCCTCTGCACGAGTTGCTGGGTCATCCCTCTCCTCATCTACTCGCGACTCTTATGAGTCGGCAGAAATAAATGTAGTCCTTGGTAATGTATGATGTCGTTTGCATTCCACAGTACTGTAATGTAATGCGACGATATCTTCAATAATTTGGTGGACTAGTTCCTTTGGGTTTGAAAATGACAATTGTAAGTTGCAAACTGATTCTATCTGTTCAACTTGGTTATACATTATAATTTATTTAACCATTCCCACATAATTTGTCCTGCATTCCCGCAGTTTCAAATGAATTCCACAGTGTGATTGATCGTAACTAGTACGTTTAATAAAATGAAGTTTTAGTGGGAGGTAACAGGTCCGCGAGGACCCTTAGATTGTACCTTAAGAAGGTATATTGAAACTAGTGGTGCTGCAAAATGGCACAGACTTTCCCGTATCAGTTTTCTATTTCCTTTGGTCTCGGATATTTATTATGACTAGTCAAATACTTTTGCCAGCTTCCATCTATCGCCGCCCAAAGTACATATTTTTGAAATTTTCTCATTTCTTTGGTTTTCTAATTGTGGAACGAAAGTATTATTTTAAGAATATTAAAGAAAAGTAAAACCACGTCATATATGGCATTTTTCATGGAAACAATTGGAGCCTTTTTTGAGAAAAAGGTGATAATGCTCTACTGTAAATTCGAAATTTGAAGACTTTTTTCACAGAATATTTTTCAGTTTTCGAAAAACTTCATTTAAGGTTATTTAAAGTAATTTCACACAATAAATTAATAGAGATTACAAATTGCTGGAAATATCCATGTGAACTGCGTGGGAGATATTAAAAAACATTTGATTAATTTTTGAAAAAACAAAAAAATACCCCCAAATTAACTTAACGTCATATTTAAGAGTGCAATTAGCACTATCCGAAAAGTTTCAAGAAGAAATTTGGAGCCGTTTTTAAAAAAAATAGCGTTTGTGTGTTTCTGAAAATGCGAAATTTTGATTTCGTTTTCACAGAAAACTTTAAAGTTTTTGACAAAATTGATGACATTACTTAAAGCACATGTACTCATAAATACAATATTGTGAACTAATTGCCACAAATATAAATATTAATAACGTGGCTGACAAGTCAAAAAATTACATTTTTGTAATCTTTGAACAAACAAAAGAACATAGCAATAAGGGGTTTATGTCATCTAATTGAGTACATAGAGTGTACCAAAGCGCATAGAGTACATATACGGACCAAAAGTTTAAAGAAAAAATTCAGAGCCATTTCAAGAAAAGGTATTTTTTAATTTTTTAAATTGCATTTATTGCACACAATATTGCGAGAAAAGTACGAAAAGTTTGAAAAAAATACATGACGTTAACGAAAGAACTAATTATGGAGAACAAATTTCATTTGAAGGAAAAATCTCTATCTTGTAGTTTTTAGTAGTCAAAATCTCTATTTTCTAGTTTTGGTAACTCACCGAAAATAATTTGAAAGTTTTGCAATTATCGAAAATTCAGAGTAATCAGTAAAAATCTTATCTTTGGCACCTTTTTAAGCGTATTCTATATAACTATTCTTAGAAGAAATTTAATGAAAATAATTGGAGCCATTTTTGAGAAAATTTTGAAAATATCCGTGAGGTTTCATGTAAAGTACCCCCAAAAATTAATGAATGTTTTTCAAAATCGCGGAGCTATGACTCAGACCACATCGACACAGCTTTATTCAGATTGGAAAAAATCGTATGCCTTGTTTTTTCTATTAGATATTTTTTCGCTCAGCATTACATAACTTTCCCTAGACTACGTTTATTACTTCGTATATACATATGTATATGGGAATGTAAAAAAGGAAATTCTTCTGTGGATGGGTTGTAATTGGCTGTCGCACAGTAATTCACAGCATTCCTCTGACGATAGTTGACATTCAAGTGCGGTTACCTAATTTTCAGTACATTCAACAGCCCCTGTAGTTGAAAGGATGGCGTCACCACAGATACCACATTTTTCTGATGTTCGGTCATATTTTCTACACGACATAGTTAGAAGTCGTCCATAAATTACGTAATGCTAAAGAGGAGGGAAGGGGTCTGGGGCAGCGTTAGGCTGCGTTACATAGGGGTAGGGGTATTAGTTAAGTGTTAGCGTGACATTGATATTTTTTTACATTTTTCAACATTTGCTGAAGTAATTCTTTTTTTGAGTCCTGTACTAAAATATTAACTAATTAATTTGTTTTAAAAACATAAATGAAAGATATTAGTTGTAAATTGTTACAATAAATGGAAATATTTTTTCAACATTCTTTTTTTAAATATTAAAATTTGATATGAATTATATTCTAGAATCCATTTAAATTGGCGGTCTAGACTCGCTCCTGCATCATCCACTACGGCGTGTGCATAGCTTGTAATCAAACATTTCTCGCCTAAGCATTCTTCCTTCACTTACAACTCGCCCCCAATTTTATTTGTTAGGTTCAGTCAGCATTGACAACTAATTTCTACTTTAATGATTATTAATTACTTAAATGAACAACATAAGTAAAATAAATAAAAACTGTTTTTTACTGTATTAAGGGCGTTAAGGGTGTGTTACAAGGGGGAGAGAGGGTACTCAAAATACTCCAAATTTGCATTACGTAATTTATGAATGGCCCCTTAGATAATCACCTCCACATTTTACATACATAGGACTATGGTTACAATATCTACGAGTGTGATTGTATCATTGGCATTTATGACATTACACTAGACATTTTTTCTTATATGGTGGCTCGAATTTCATTTTAGGATTCATTAAACTTGTTGCTTTAAAAGTGCCTTCATTATTTGGTTGTCTTTCTAGTTCAACAAAAATAAAACGTTGACTCCTTTGTTACTCGAAGTCGGATATTGTAAATGTTTCTTGATTTGTAATTCAGTTTTTCTAGCCGCATCACTAAGCACTTCGAATCTACTGAAGGATGAATTTGACGGAGAGCTACACAAAAAGCAAGTTCTTGTTTTAATTGGTAAATTTGAACATTGATTTGGTTTTGCTAAGATGATGTATGGTAGAATTAAATAGACCCAGGAATCACTTTCACTTCGTTGTTATACACCAGGGATTCCCAAACTTTTTCGTTCACGGACCCCGTTTAAAATAATAGTTGGCTCCATGGAACCCCTTACGTTATTTTGTATAACATACCATACATAAACATAACACAAATATTAGCCCGTAATTTTCTTAAAGATTACAACTGCGTATAACAATATTTTGGTAAATATCTAGATTTACAATATCGAAGACTCTTCCTCTTCTGAGAAGCTGAGTTCTAATTTTTATTGTTGGGGAATGGTTACAAAATGTTGAGCGTTTTTTCCTTGTTTCGCAATGGCATATATCCAGTGCGTATTTCAGGGAATATTTTGTTCTGGGGTAGAATATCGTTGTCAATACATGTCATTTATTAAGTTTTCTAAACATCTTAAGAAGTTACGTAGCCAGGTTCTCGGATGCTCCGATGCAGAAAATCGAAATGAGCCTTCTATGTGCCATATTATACGTTGTATAATGTGCTTGTTATACGCTTTATAAGTAGAGTCATTTTTTCTATCTTTTATTTTATTGAATTACTGAGGTCTAGGCTATTGTTGACGTTTTGGTGAAAATACGTTCAAATTTCGAATTTACTGTAGCGCTTAAATACCGTTTTCTTAAAATCGGATCCAAGTGTTTGGGACGAGGTTTTACTGATCTTTAATATTTTTAAAGTAATAATTCGATTCTACTATAAGGAAGCGGAACAATTAAAAAAATGGGCAGCGGTAGATGGCAGCTGACATGAGTATGTGGCAAGTCCGAACAGCTAGCCGAGACAAGTGGAAGTAGAAAACTAATACAGGAACGTCTGTGCCATTCTGTAGCACCACTAATTTGATATTCGATTTGAAGAAGCATTGAAAACACTTTTAATTTATTGTTGAAGCCTTGGCATAATGTACG